CCACGACTTTTTAAAGTCTGTCCTGCATTCCCTGCTTACAGAGGAAAGCACGCTGTATTTCTGCAGAGCCACTCGAACTACCCCGCCTTATAATAATGCCATTACACAACAGAACCACAACTAATTACCTCTAATTGGATTGAATCGTTTTCATTCTTATTATCTTTTCTCTGGCTGCAATAAGCGACGTTTCAAACTTGGGTACGAGCACACAGGATGTCTGGCGACTCAGCTCTCACAGACTCGTTCATTCAGGAAAATCACTCTAACCCCATAAACTCGTATTAATCGCTCAGCGCCCGCAAATCCAAGTGCTCCCACACTTGGAGCAGGGAGCAGTAGTTCACTTTCCTGGTAAAGAACCGGCTACAACCAGCAGGACACCGAATCACACCCACGGAACAATGCCTAGGATGAGTCATTAGCAAGCCTTTCCTTCCAGGCTCTATCAGACCCCTCTGAGAAAGGCAGATAATTAGGGCGATTCCAAACGCTTTCCAGAGTAACTTCTTTATTTGTAGCCCAGCTATTGGCCGAAGTCAGCCATTTCTCACTCTGATTTTGATGTTAACGCTATTTATTGTTTTAGAAACCTGATTATTCTTCCACAAGGGAGGGAGGGATTGTCCTTAAATTGTCAGATCAGAGCATTTCCTCACCGGTCAGCCTTATTTTTTCTTGTCTTAAGAGTTCCAATTTGCAAGCAGCATAGCAAGACTTTTGATTCTTGTAGTAACCGCAATTACACTGGTGGCAAGAGCATAAATGAGGGCACCGTTTAGCCCTGTGAGCTCTGACTGGAAGATAATCGGGACAAATGCTAAACAAAACCAGTTTTTGGCTTTCAATTGATAACTACACGTGCCCACATAAGAAAAATGCTGGAGTTGCTCTACCACGAATTGAATGGGCTGCTTCATGTGGAAACTGGTTAGTTTGGCTTGTACTTCTACAGGAATATCCATCATCTCCCACATGCATGCTCTACTACACAGGCAAGACTCAAGCTGAGTATTTCCTCTAATGGGTCTTCTGTTTGACATCCCCCTCAGTGTGGAGCAGTCTGGGCAGTGTCCACTTCCAGAAATACCTGACCCATATATTTGACGAAGAAAGAAAGCAGAAAATACATTATATCGGGCAAGATCTGTTAGGACAATCCTGCACAAGCTTCTATTTCACACCATTATATTTTAACTTGCACTGTAGCATACAGCAAACACTTCATACTTCACTAATCCAAAAAGGCCCGGTATAAAGAGGCCTTTAAGTGTTTGATAAATGGCAGCAATATTTCATAACAGTTCTCAACATTGTGAGAATACAGTGAGAACACAAGAGTTTGAAACATTGCTATTTGCAGCTGTAGAAAAGATAATAAAAAAATGAAAAAGTCTTCATGGCTTGGCAAACTCCAGTGAGCAAACAGAGAAAAGAAAGACTTTTTCAATGATATGATATTTAACTGCTGACACGGAGAAAGAATTAAAAAGCGCTTTGCTTTCCATGCCTTGCTGCACAGGCACTGCCCTCCTCCCACCCAGTGATGGCTCAGCTGACCTGACCACACACTCCTAACACATCATCCCAACAGAGAGGTTTTTGTAGCAAACAAGGACCTGCATGGCAATTCACACTGTTCATCACAGATAAATTTAACAGCCACTTTGCAACTGTGTCCTTTATTACACAAGCTGCTTTATGTACTGCTGATGTTGGTTAAAAGGGACGCTAAGACAGAGCTGCCTGAGCTGCAGCTGAAGTATCTTGATACTAATGCACTTAAATAATTGTCCTATTTCTCATCTTTCACAGGATGTCCAGCTCTGTTTTGAAGCTGATGAGTCCGACAGGAAAATAAACCTCACATAAAATCTGTTCAGAGCTAGGATCTTTCAGACCAGGCTCTTTTGACCACTTTGCTTTTACTGTACACCTGCATTTAACTCTCTAAATCTCAACAGTTTCCTCCAACTTCATAATTTTGGCGGGAAAATAGTATATAACCCAACATCAGGTACAGCTCATGTGACTGCAAGGTGAAAGCAGATATCTTTTTATTAGTGAACCACAGGAGCCTCCATTTGCTTCTGCAAAGCAGGGAAGAATCACCAAAAAGCTGGAAGGAACAGCAAGAAAACCAGTGCAGCCGGGAGACTGCTGTTCCATTATTTATTGCTTGCTATATAGTCACGGGATCAGGCAATCCCACAATGGTTTGGGTTCCTTAAAGACCATCTCATTCCACCCCCTGCCGTGGGCAGGGACACCTTCCACCAGCCCAGGTTGCTCCAAGCCCCGTCCAGCCTGGCCTTGGACACTCTGGCACATTATGCTCTTAACAGGCCTATTTGCCATTTACGAGTCCCATATTTAGGGCCAGCCACAACAGGGCAGAACATCAGCAGGCGCCTCTGGAAACGCTGAACAGAGAAATCATTTTCAACGATACAATAAATTTCCTCCAGGGTAATTTTTTCAGTGTGTTCCTCTCTGTGCCATCATCACCCACGCCAGGTTAAGTGCAAGGCAGTTTGCCACGGGCTCCTGCTCTCCTCCTGCACAGGGACAGGAGTTTAAACTCTTTTAAGCTGCAGAGCAGCAAAGTAACTCAAGCAAGGGGGTACCACGATGCCCTACGCGGCCAGATCATCCTCCCCGCAGTGGGATTTGGAAAGGAGAAAGCAGCAGGAAACGCCGGCAGCCTCTTCGGCAGGCTCCGGGAAGCAGCTCCCAGTTTTCCTGGCCGCCACTACCACCAAGTGGTTTGTTCGTGAAGCTGCCGGGCACACGGAGGACTTGCTTGTGCTCCCACTGAGCTGTCACTAAAGGGGTGTCGACGCTAAAAATCCCGATTTTCCGAAGCTGGAACTAACGTCTTTATCCATTACTCAGGCTGATATCATCAATTTGCAGAATCAATACTATGCAATTTTGGTGGTTGTAGCTTTGTCTTTTTTACCAGCTCCATTTTTTTTTCCATCTCAGGAAGTAATTTTTATTTTAAATACGTGACCTAAGGTAATTACTTAATGTGACAAGATAACGCTAGGCAAACCATTGATACCACTATTCATAATCAAGTAAAAAGATATAACTTTTTAATTTAACTACAGATAAAATCTACATTTCCCGACGAAACTTAAGACCACCAGAAAGTGTTTTTTTGTTTGTTTGTATGGGTTTTTGTCTTTTGTTTGTTTGGTTGTTGTGGGTTTTTTGTTTGTTTGTTTTTTTAATACTTTCAAACATCTTTTTTATTAAGTAGCTTGCTCCCTACAGCATCTGCAACTCAAGGCACAGGGGCACTAATTGCAACATTACTACAAATAAAGAAAAAACGGCTCGGGGAACATATAAAGTGGGAACAAAAAGTAACCAGCAAGGAGCACGCTGATCACAAACAGTTATTTTTAATAACCTGGTTTTTATATAGGTCGAGTTGCAGGCTTGTTTAACAGCTTTGCATTTACACTCTGTACACTCTACCAGAAGGTTCCAAGCTTGGCCAGAAGTCTGGAGTAGCTGCTGAGTGGCTTCTTTGTTATTAAAAAGGTCTTGCTAAATACCCAACACCCTGTAGCCTGTCTCAGCAGATAAGGGTTTTTTTTTAATTGTTGTTGTCTGTTCTTGTTGAGGCTTTTTCAGCAAACTCAGCTGACCCTGAGGCATTTCCTGAAAATCTTTTATTCTGGAAGGCAGAGGTAAGAACGCTAAAATACAGACCTTATTAAGGATTCAAAGCCTCGGGTTTGACTCAGCGGCAGTCCCAGACTGTACTGGCCAAAACGAAAAATACCTTTGAAAGTCTTATTTTTGCTTTTGTGGCAGCCAATAGCTTACAGGGCAGAGATGTATGAAGGTACCACCATCTCCTCCTCTGCTCTAGCAGAAACATGAAAAGCACGCTATGGAAGAACTGTTAATCAGAATTTGGTCCTGGAGATGAACTCCTGAGTCACACAATGCGACAGGAGTAACCAGACAGGTTTCCTGGTCTCTTTTTGCCCTCCTCCCTCCAAGCACTCAGTGCAGCTCCCTGTCACAGTTTGAACACACACACTCAAAACCAAACAAAAAAACTCTAAAAAAACCAAAACCTAAAAAAACCCCCAAAACAAACCCAAAAAACCTCCAAACAACCCCCCCACAAGCCCCTCGTAATAAACCCACCAAAATCAACCCCCTCTCCCAAAAGCCAGTGCTACAAATTGTGAGAACCAAGGTCTCTCTGAATCAGGCTGGGACACAATCTGAGCAGCAACAATCTGAGCACGATTCAAATTCCCTGATGCTGCAAAAGCAGCTGTGGGACTTAGCCAAGAAGTTAAGGACAGCACAGCTGCAGCCACAGGCAGCAGGATATAAACTCATGTATTGACGTATGGGGGGGTTTTTCCCTCCCCCTGCTACAAAAGAAACATAATCCACCTCCCCACCCCTGCTCTGCCTCGAGTATTAGCTTCAAATTACTCACCCCTCCAAATGCACCACCACCATCTGCTCCTGGCATTGATTCCACCGAGCTGGTGCTGGCTATCTGAGGGAAACAGAACGACACAGAACAGTTTCAACACGGACATTCTCCCTGAAATACATTAAACATCAAAAAAGAAAACAAAGCAAAGAAAAAATGGGTACAAGAA